CAGGACGCATGCGCAGCCAGAGCGGGAACCGGCCGCCACCGCGCATGCGAGAAAGGAGGGGGGGTGGCGCGTGCGCAATGGAGCAGGAAGAGGGAGCATGCGTGGGTTAGAGAACTAGGTTCCTGCGCATGCGTATAAATGAGACTGCGAGAAAACCCGTTAGGCTTGAGTCTATGAGCCCCTCACCCCCCAGCCCTGTCACTGAGCCTGTGGAGGGGGGGCTCTGATCCCTCTTCCCCCCAGCCCTGTCACCGAGCCTGTGGAGGGGGGGCTCTGATCCCTCTTCCCCCCAGCCCTGTCACCGAGCCTGTGGAGGGGGGGCTCTGATCCCTCTTCCCCCCAGCCCTGTCACCGAGCCTGTGGAGGGGGGGCTCTGATCCCTCTTCCCCCCAGCCCTGTCACCGAGCCTGTGGAGGGGGGGCTCTGATCCCTCTTCCCCCCAGCCCTGTCACCGAGCCTGTGGAGGGGGGGCTCTGATCCCTCTTCCCCCCAGCCCTGTCACCGAGCCTGTGGAGGGGGGGCTCTGATCCCTCTTCCCCCCAGCCCTGTCACCGAGCCTGTGGAGGGGGGGCTCTGATCCCTCTTCCCCCCAGCCCTGTCACCGAGCCTGTGGAGGGGGGGCTCTGATCCCTCTTCCCCCCAGCCCTGTCACCGAGCCTGTGGAGGGGGGGCTCTGATCCCTCTTCCCCCCAGCCCTGTCACCGAGCCTGTGGAGGGGGGGCTCTGATCCCTCTTCCCCCCAGCCCTGTCACCGAGCCTGTGGAGGGGGGGCTCTGATCCCTCTTCCCCCCAGCCCTGTCACCGAGCCTGTGGAGGGGGGGCTCTGATCCCTCTTCCCCCCAGCCCTGTCACCGAGCCTGTGGAGGGGGGGCTCTGATCCCTCTTCCCCCCAGCCCTGTCACCGAGCCTGTGGAGGGGGGGCTCTGATCCCTCTTCCCCCCAGCCCTGTCACCGAGCCTGTGGAGGGGGGGCTCTGATCCCTCTTCCCCCCAGCCCTGTCACCGAGCCTGTGGAGGGGGGGCTCTGATCCCTCTTCCCCCCAGCCCTGTCACCGAGCCTGTGGAGGGGGGGCTCTGATCCCTCTTCCCCCCAGCCCTGTCACCGAGCCTGTGGAGGGGGGGCTCTGATCCCTCTTCCCCCCAGCCCTGTCACCGAGCCTGTGGAGGGGGGGCTCTGATCCCTCTTCCCCCCAGCCCTGTCACCGAGCCTGTGGAGGGGGGGCTCTGATCCCTCTTCCCCCCAGCCCTGTCACCGAGCCTGTGGAGGGGGGGCTCTGATCCCTCTTCCCCCCAGCCCTGTCACCGAGCCTGTGGAGGGGGGGCTCTGATCCCTCTTCCCCCCAGCCCTGTCACCGAGCCTGTGGAGGGGGGGCTCTGATCCCCTTCACCCCCCAGCCCAGCCACTGAGCCTGCGGGGAGGGTGGCTCTGATCCCCTCACACACATCCTAGTCCTGTCATTGAACCAGGAATTGGGGGCTCTGATCCCCTGACCCTCCAGCTTGGTTATTGAACCTGTGGGAAAGCTTGGATCCCCTCACACCCCACCTTGTCACTGAGCCTGTGGGGGGAGTAGGAAGGGAGAGGCTCTGATCCCTTTCCCCAGGGCCTGCCACATTGATCCTCCGGACCTCTACCTCCTCTTTTTCCCCTCCATCTCTAACTTTCTCATTCTTGACACTGAGCCAGCTAACCGGATAAGCAGCACCCACCAAAGGAAATGGGCTAGGATTCCTTTTGCAGCTGGTACCATGTGGCTGCAGAAATCAAATTGACTAATCCCCAGTCACTCCTTTTGATAAATCTTCTGTATCCAACACTACAGGAGTATCTTACTGTGACAAGCTATGTAGTAAATAGATACAGACTAATCTCCAAGCAGAGAGTCCCTATGGGTGAAGTAGTATCTTGTATTGGACCAGTCTCTGTTGATGAGAGTCAAGCTTTTGAGCCACACAAAGCTATTCTTCAGATTTAGGAAAGCTATTCTGACCATCACGGCTACATGGAAGGTGGAATAGATTGTTTACTATAAAATACAAAGGTTCAAGTTATTAGCTCTTCATAGCTATCTCCTTCATAATGTCAGAATGAACCTGGCTAACCTTGATTACTTCTGTGGGAAAAGTAGAAAAATTTATACATAGAAGTTATGCAGAGGGAAAGTAGCACCCTGGTCAATTTACCTCTACAGCCTTCCCATGTATAAATTATTACTGCTGGTCACCCAGCAGAGACCAAGAAGAAAAATGAAGCAAGAGAAAAACAAGAACAAATATGAATCAATTTCAAGATGGAAGGCTTGGAAGATGGAAGAAATCTGAGTTACAGAATTGATTCCTGGACCCATTCTTATAGCTGTGTAGCCTGGAAAGCAATCTGGTAAGTTTCTCCATCACAATATAGGTTTTTCCTCTATGCAATAAACACAAACTAGGTCTGTGGATTTCCCAGTGTTGAACACAATGACAAATACAAAATATTACTTCACATACAACGGCTCTCTGCTTGGAGATTAGTCTGTATCCATTTACTACGTTGCTTGCCACAGTAAGAAGGTAGAGTGTTCCTTCATTTACAGTCCCAAGACTCCAGTACCATTTGATGGACAACTCAATTACAGAGATATGCACAATGCATTTAGTTACTTACAGCAGCCCTAACAATTTTTCCTCCAGTTTCATGAAGTTTACACATCAAATAAATTTTCACTAACTTACATTTTTGATCTAGGGTTAGTTATGTCCAGGGACATATATAATGTAAGGCAATTGAGCCCATGGTTGTTGATGATGATTATGAATAACAACCAACAGGTAAATGTAGTGTAAATTACTGGGGCATGTACCTTGTGAATGTAATGTGATAACATCCCCTTTTTTTATATTCTAAGTGTATGTCTATACCGTGCTCATTTTGCGCAACAAATATGCAAACGAGGTGAAGCGTGGACTATCGCTGTGACTCATTTGCATAATTAATTAGGCTCTGTTTTTGCACAAGAGGCTTTTGCACAAAAAGGAGCCATTTATGCGGCTCCATTTTGCGCAAAAAACCCTGTTGAGCAAAAGCTGTTCGTCCTCTTTTTTTTCAGGAAGAACGGCTCTTGTGCAAGAGGGGGGTTTTGCGCAAAAAACCCGAGTCTAATTAATTATGCAAATGAGGTGCTGCGATATTCCACGCTTTGCCTCATTTGCATTTTGTTTTGCGCAAGAGGGGGCAGTGTAGACGTAGCCTAAGGGTACGCTTACACCACCAAATTTTGTCAACAAAATTTGTCGACACCCAAAAGTCAACAAAACAAAAATCACCGGAGGGTGTTCGCACTTGCTCCCTCTGTCAACAGACACCATCTACACTGGGGGCACAATCGTATGATTAATGCATTGTGGGTATGTATCCCATAGTGCCATGTTGTGGGAAGACAGAGCTGATCCCTGAGCCTCTTCGGATTCCCCCTCAGCTATTCCAGAGCCTCTTCAGTTGGCAGGAGCAGCATCATGAGTAGCTCTGTGAGCTCTCCATGCTGAGGAATTTCAAAGCAGCACAACAGTCTGTCCCATTTCCTCCTGCAGGACAGAACAGGAGCTCTCCAACGATTTGCTCTTTGTTCCCCAAATGGTGCGGCTCATTCAGTTGTCAGACACTTTCCAGAGTTTTGAAAGGGGACGAGCACATGCCTGCAGGGAAGCAGAGATCAAAGCTGAGCAGCGTCATCAGGGCAGGCATTGGGGGATACTGGCAGAAACCAGTTCTGTCGACACAACAAACAGCAGAGTCTACACTGGATCATTTGTCAACAATAAAAGGAAGGGAAAATAAAAAAATCTCTCATAAGGGTGGAAGTTTTTTGTCTCTGAAACTGGCATTTTTCCCAACAAAAGTCCCTTTGCAGTGCTTATGCTCACACTGTTTTGTCACCAAAAGTCAGGTTTTGATGACAAAACTTCGTGGTGTAAACTTAGAGTACGTCTAGACGGCAGCATTATTTCGGGATACCGGAAGTATCCTGAAATAGCAACGCCGTGTCTTTAAATGCTACCGCTATTCCAGCGTCCCTGTAACCCTTGAGGGTTAAGGGATTTGTCAGAATAGTACCTTATTTTAAAATCTGGCACTGTCTACACAGTGCCAAATTTCAAAAAAAGCTCTTTCGACCTAGACTTCGAATAAGCTACGCAATTTGCATAGTGCAAATTGCGTAGCTTATTCTGACGGAAGGCTGCTGTATAGACACACCCTAAATCTTATACTACTATAGTAATACGACCTATGGTACGCCACTCCAACTACATGAATAAAGTAACCGGAGTTGACTTACCTTAGGTCTTTATACCACACGGGATCAATGGGAGACACTATCCTGTCAACTTACCTTATTCTTTTCATCCAGGTTAGAGTACTGGGATCAGCTGGAGAGTGATCTGGAGTTGATTTGGCAAGTCTTCACCAGCCCCTCTACATTGATGCAGGTGCATTGATTTCTACTTCCTCGATCCCGGCTGCAGAGGAGATGTAGCATTAGGATGTGGTTATAAACCATAAAACACCCAGTAGTCCTCCCTACCTATTCAGGACATTCAAAACTCGGAACTTCATTATTCCCCTATTTTGCCAGTGCACTGAATACAACATGGCCCTGGAACTGAAAGCAAAATAAAGTCCTTTGTTTGAAGTGATATAGGACCAAATTCATCCAGGGTGTACTCAGGTGAAATTCCACTGTGGAATTGTACCTTTGTGCATGTGGGTTGAATTTTGCTCATGAATTTCAGAAAATTAGTTCAAAGAGGAAAAGTAAAGGTATCTCACCATTCCTCTAGTAAAACAGTTCTTCTCGTGTTACTAACTACCCAAGCTCCTGGAAGCACATACACTTGTGGAATGGAGTCTGAAAACAAAGACAGGAAGTCATGAAGTAGAATTGGTAAGAAAATAAGTAAATCCACTCTGGATATCAGATTGAAACTAATCCAACAGAAAAGTCAGTTTAGAATTTATTGGATAAGGAGCTATGAGCTGAAGTCTGGGAAATATAAAATCATAGTATTGGAACAGTGTTCATCATATCTTTTACAGGTTATTCATACTATAAAGAAGTTACCAGAAAAAATAAATATAATACTGGGAAATGACTTACATCTGAGATCCTTATCATGGGAAGATTTGGATTTCATGGTCACATCTCTAGGAAATGTATTTTGCACAGTGTCGAGGTACTCTTTAATCATTATTAAAACTGCATCTGGATCTGCCATTTGCATGGGGGTTTTGTATTGTGGTTTGGATTTTTTCACCGTAGTGGTCTGTCATGGTAGCAGAACAAAAGGCTAGAAGAAGGGAGCCCTTTCTAATAGTCACTCAACAAGCTTACACTTAAGGGCTACGTCTACACTGTAGCCTTCTTGTGGAAAAGCTTATGCAAATGAAGTGTGGGGTGGAATATCGCCATGCTTCATTTGCATAATTAATTAGCAGCCATTTTTGCACAAGAGGCTTTTGCATAAAAAGGAGCTGAGTAGATGGCTCCTTTTTGCGCAAAAACCCCCTCTTGCACAAGAGCTGTTCTCTCTGAAAAATCCTCTTGCGCAAAAACAGCTGCTAATTAATTATGCAAATGAAGAACAGTGATATTCCACTCCGCGCTTCATTTGCATAAGCTTTTCTGGAAGAAGGCTAAAGTGTAGCCAGGGTGTTGTTAAGAGACAATGCCCGAGCAAGTGAGTACATGGCTTTAGTCCTTTCTCATGAGCAGCATCAATACTAGACTGAACAAGATGGGTTAGATAAAACAAGACAGAAACCCATAGGCCTTGTCTTCACTTCTTAAATAAAGGTGGGTTTGTTGTTGTTTATTTTTCTGCTTCATGGTAACCGATATACATGAGCTCTCGTGAGGCAAAAACACAATGAAGACCAGGCATTGACAGCTGAGTGAGGTCAATTCCAGACAGACACAATGTGCTGAACTAATCTAACCTAATTTGCCTCAGCATACCTTTGAAGTGCCTATTCTTGCCTGTGTTTTTACCTCAGAATAGCACATGAACATTACTTAACCCAACAGTAAAAAAGTAGCCCTTTTTAGCATTGAAGACAAGGACACAGTCTAGACACACAGATCTTGACCGTCCAAGGGGCATGTCTACACAGCAGAGTGCACATCTACACAGCAAACCCACTATTTTGAAATAATTAATTAGCTTTTTAGTCCAACTTCTGTAACCCTCATTTCACAAGGAGTAAGGGAAGTCGAAGAAAGAGTAGTGTAGACAGCGTCTAAAGCCGAATTAAGCTACTTCGACTTCATCTACGCAATTAATGTAGCTGAAGTTGCATATCTTAATTTGACTTTAGCCTGCAGTATAGATGTACTCTAAGCAAACGGGAGTTGGCTCTATGACTTCTTGTCACTTAAGAGGAAAGTCTATCTAAGGGTATGGCTACACAGCAGGGCTAAAGTCAAATTAAGCTACGGAACTTCAGCTATGTCAATTGCGTAGCTGAGGTTAAAGTAGCTTAACTGGGCTTTAGGTGCTGTCTATACAGCAGGAAGTCGAAGGAAGAACACTCTTCCTTCAACTTCCCTTATTCCTCATGAAATGAGGCTTACAGGAGTCGAAGTAAGAAGTCTTCCAGCTCAAGGCTATTTCGTGTAGTGTAGACGTGCTCTTTGTTATTTCAGAATAACGTCAGTTATTGCAAAATAACGCTGCTGGGTAGACATACCCTAACTTAGTTTATAGTGAAGCATGAGACTAGATAAAATTAAATATGTGTGTAAATTGCTCACTATTTTAAGATGCTTTTTTCTCTAATGCTTTATTCCGACTGCTAAGCAAAAACACTTTGATTAAGAAAGTAATTGGCCATATCACTGATAACCATTTCCTGAAGGAAAGAAACACAAGCTCCCAAAATCTGGGTAATGAGGGGCTGGCAGGCATATGGTTACTTAGGGCCTAAGGGGGGAAGAATCATGAGACTCCACCATAACATAAAGGCAAGAGGGCATGTCCACACTAGGAAATTATTTTGAAATAACTTATTTTGAAATAACTCCTGAAATAACTATTTCGAAATAGTGTGTCCACACTAGATGGAAGTTTCGAAATTAGCCCGAGATAGGCTCTCTTAATGTGGACGAGGTACATCGACTTAGCGCCCCAGGAAGCACTGGGAAGTTACCGCTATTTTGAAATAATGAAGTGTTGTTCCTTGTGGAAAGCAGGAGTTTGTTCAAACTACTCAGCCTGTTATTTTGAAGTAACGGGCTTGGTAATGTGGACGCTCTACTTGCTATTTCAAAATAACTCCTCAGTGTAGACCAGAGCAGAGAGACCAAAAAGGAAGCAGAGGTGCAGCTACTCCCATGTCAGTATTTTATTTGTAGAAAGGTATTAAATTGGAAAATTGTTCTCTTTGTTATTCTTCTGAGACACTGAAAGCATTTTATACTCTCTTTTTCTCGGTCCCATTCATCTACTATATATTTGAAAGAGTTTGTCTGTCTGTTTGCTCAAGGACACCTCCTAAATGGTAAGACCTAGGACCACCAAATTTGGTATACAGCCTCCTCTTATCATAACGTAAAGCAATACAGGCAGTCCCCGGGTTACGTACAAGATAGGGACTGTAGGTTTGTTCTTAAGTTGAATCTGTATGTAAGTCAGAACTGGCGTCAAGATTCACCCACTGTTGAAACTGATCAGCTTCAGCAGCGGCCGACCTCCTAAATGGTAAGACCTAGGACCACCAAATTTGGTATACAGCCTCCTCTTATCATAACGTAAAGCAATACAGGCAGTCCCCGGGTTACGTACAAGATAGGGACTGTAGGTTTGTTCTTAAGTTGAATCTGTATGTAAGTCAGAACTGGCGTCAAGATTCACCCACTGTTGAAACTGATCAGCTTCAGCAGCGGCCGAATCTGGACGCCAGTTCCGACTTACATACAGATTCAACTTAAGAACAAACCTACAGTCCCTATCTTGTACGTAACCCGGGGACTGCCTGTAGCTTATTTCAAAAATTGGCACTGTCTACACAGCACTTATTTCAAGATAAATTGCTATTCCAAAACATCCCTTATTCATCATGGAATGAGGTTCATGGGGATGTCGGAATAGCGAGCCCATTATATTTCAGAATAATGGGCACATTCAAAAGCCATGGAATAGCTATTTCGGGATACCTCCAGTATCTAAAAATAGTGCTGCAGTATAGACATACACTTGGCCTAACCCAGTATGATGGTTCTTATGTTTACTGGTAAAATCCATAATGTGGACACAATTATACTGATGTCCCAAGTAACAAGGTTTTAGAATTTTTTGATAAGGGCCAGATTCTTATCTGATATAATTCCAGCACAACAGCTTTGATTTTGGTTGAGCTAAACATGAGCTGAAGATCTGACTCTGCATTAGAAACCAGTTTTGCAATCATTGTCCATGTAACTACATCTAATGTAGCATACTAAGTTTGAGTAAGAAAATTATAATTGAATAGGCCTGGGAGATAAGGCTCCCTTTATTGACTACTTTTGTGAGCTTGGCCAAGTTACAACTTGTCTGTGATTCATTTATCCATCTGTAATATGAGGATGATAATATATATTTCCAAAAGGAAGCTGCAAGGTTTAATATAAATGTTTGTAAACTGTTTGGAAACCTTCAAGTGCTAGGGGTCTGCTCGAGACCAGGGAGAGGAAGTGCCCCGTTCGTAACTGCGGATCCGACATAAGTCGGATCCGCGTAACTCGGGGACTGCCTGTATAAGGATTTGGTTGTGCCAGGAAAATGGGATGTGCCTGGAATGGGATTGTGTCTCAGAAAACCATACAGAAAATAGACAGAATCATCAGGCAGGTGAAAAAGGCTGGCTGGGAACACCCCCTCCCCCATCTGGGACTGCCCCAGGCCTGAGCCTCTCACCTCCCAGGTACCCTTTCGGGAGGGGAGGCTGAAGCTCCCTCCCCCCAATTCATTCAGGAACATTGCTGGCTGTTCTTAATCAGGGAGTGAGAGGAAAGTGTTGCATTGATCACTCTGGCTGGGGAATGCAGGGAACAGAGGAAACTGGACCTGCTCCCAGCTGGGGGACATGCACCCCTCCCCCATCTGTGCTTACTGGAGCTGCAGCAGCCATGGAGAGTTTCTGCTCACCTAGCCCCATACTGCTATGATTAGCGGGCTGGGGTAGTCCTCTCACTGCAGGGTAGCCTTCATACTGAATCCCTCATCCCCAGCCCCAGCCAAAAGCAATGATTTAAATGAAGAAAAACGAAAAATAATTGAGTTCAGGACCTGCGAAACACCAGGTAAATCTTCTAGTCATACATAAAATAAGTTCCTAGAACACAGAATGCTATCTCATTGAGGTATCTCTTTTCTGTCACGCTGGAATTCACTGGAGTTGCACCAAAGTAGCAAAAGTAAATTTGATCTAGTGCAATAGAGAAAGGAGCAAGGAGAACTCATTACCAAATTTCCATTACTTCTAGACAAAATAGAATGGAAGTTTAGCAATCACTTAGAAACTTCTGAGCCTGTTTCCTTACTCTAATTAATTACAAAACAAACCACGATATATAATATAGATATAGAAATGTACTGTACATTTGTCTGTCTTTCCCAGTCACTATTTTTTAAATAACTAAATTATTTTAATTGAACATTTGCTAAAACCTTCCCAGCAGAACTTTAGTAAACTGTTAACATGTCATGTAGCATATAATTTTTTTCCAAACCCAGTTATTACTATGCTGGACAACAGTTTACTCTCTCTGATTCAGGAAAGTAAGTTCTGAAGATAACCAGACAAACACCCACTTTCAATTTCCTTCTTGACCGTATTGGGATAGTAATTTTTGTTTTGCTTCTAAAAAAG